GCCTTTTGGCTGGGGAATTCCGAGAGCCTCAACTGTCCCCATCTGGAGGACACCCAGATAAGAAGGTCAGCAGAGATCCTCAAAAGCTGCTTGAAGGATACTATAGACCAGAGTTTCTCAACGTTAGCAACTTTAAGCTGTGTGGATTTCAACCCCCATGCTGGCTGGGGAATTCTGGGAGTCCACACAGCTTGAAGTTGCCGAGGTTGGGCAACGCTGCTGAAAACCGTTTATGATACTCATTTCTTTCCAGGTTTTCTCTATCACTTTTCATTCTAAACGTATAAAAATATCCACTTCAAAAGTATTGAGACATGCACGGGAACGTTTTTACAATTGTGTAAAAGCAGAATCAGATGGGACAGGAAGAGGAATGCAAACAGGCCTTCTAAGCCTTTGTTTTCCACTGGCAGTGCCACACGGACACCCCCCGCCCCAAAGGAGCATGCTTTATGTCCCTCGTCCCTAAATAGTTCTTTGTGGGTCGCAGAAGCAGGATGAACCCTGACTCAAAAGTCACATAGATCATTTCTTTGGGGGTGGGGTAGGGGGGCTGCAGGGGGCTAAGGGCTATTTCTTTCCCACACCAGGTGACTCCGAAGCAAACACGTTGGTTCTCTGCGGGCAAAGACACGCTGGGGGCTGAATGCTTCGGGAGCACCTCAGGTCTGCTTAGCCCTCCTCAAGGGGGTCGGGCCTGTCTTGCGCGTTCTCTGCTGTTCTCCTCCAAGTCCTCTGTTTGCATCCGGAAAACAGCATTCAAGCGGAGCGCTAGCACTGCTGTCTGTGAACCGTGACTTTCTCCTTTGCTCTGGGGAAATCTCCCTCCACGTGGCTGGCCTCGGGGCGGGTCCTCCATGCAACACCTAGCAGACGCTCCACTGAAAGCAGGTGGGAGCCTCAGAAGAGCTGGGCTCATCCTTCTGACGGGTGCGTGTGCACATGCACGCGCACACACACACACCCCGTGCCTTGGCGGCCCAGATTCTGTGCAAGGAAAACAGAACCCAGAGTGGGCTGCTCTGCCTGCCGGCCGGCCGGCCTTCTCTCTCTCCTCTCTCGCCCCCCCAGGAGCTCCAGGTGCTTACAGGGATCTCCTTTAATTTTATCCTCGCAAAAGCAAGGTCGCCTGGGAGTTTCTGTGGCTGAGGGTAGACTTGAACCTGGTGCTCTCCAGCCCTCATATCCAGTTGCCAGCTGAACTGCCACAGTCTGGCCATCGTAGTGGAGGCTGAGGACTTAGATGGGCTTTGTACGTCTTTGCCCCTAATTATATAAAACGGTTCCTGAGACTTGCCAAGCACTGCCCTCTATCCTTCCAAACAGGACTTGGCAGTCATAAGGACTGGAAACCTGTACCACATGTCTGCTCTCTCATATATATACACGCATGCACATACATACATGTGGACAGAACATGAGATCTACACACAGCGTGTCGTGCCCTCCTGTGGAATGATGGGTAAACTCAATCCAGAAGTCTCTCTTTCCAGTTTTCAGGTTGCTGAGAAACAGTGAATGCTCTTAAACCCTTAGCCTTCCCAGGAGAGAGGACCGTTCCGATTCAGAACTGTTAGTGGAAAACATTGCTTCCTTGATCTCAGAACCTTTTCGCTGAACAGCTGTGTTGTTGTCATACAAAAAGAGACTGTCTGTGCTGGTTGCTTTTCAGAGTGGCCTCCAGGGCAAAGTTCTTCGAGACGGCTTCCTTCAGGAGAGGCAGGTAAGAGAAGGACCAGGTTTGCCTTTAGACGGAAGGTTGGCATCCTGGAGAGCTCGTGAGCCATGCTGTCTTCTGATTTGGCCCGTATGCCTGAAAGTTTGGGACACTTATTCCAAATACATTCCCTGCACAATGTAGGGTCTACACCGCGAGGCGCTTTTCAGATGCCTGGCAGTTGAGAAGACCTGCTGAATTCTGCCCCATGAAATGCACCGCTGGCCCCAGAGGGCCTTATGGGTTGCTCAGCTGGCAGTAGCAGACCTCCTCAGGACTTTCGTTTCGCTGGTGGGCCTGTTGAGGGGCCACAGCCCCCCTTCCACGTCTCCCCAGTGCCTGGACCCCTGTACGGTTATGCTGATTTCAAAGGAAGGTGACATCCCAGGCGCAGGGTCAGCACTGTTTTCATTGTGAGCCATAGGATAATAATTCTTCTTTTTGATGCTCAGACGGGATTGCTGAATCTTGCAAGCTTATAGCTTCCAGTCTCCCTCATTTTAATGTTCTGGCCTGTCCAAAGATCCTGACATCTCAAACTCTCCACTTATTGTTTTAAGTGTTAAAGGCGTTAAAATAAGAGCGCCGCATTGCCAGTCCCTGTAGGTGGGTTGAGCTGACAGGGAGTCTCCATGACTGAGGGGGGATGAGAACCTGGGTCTCCCCACTCCTAGTCCAGCCCCTAAGCTGCCATACCGCTCTGGCTCTCTGCTTTCCCCCATTGTAGTTTAGCCTGGCTAGTTTTAGGGATTTATTGCAATCCTGCTTTTCTCTAGTTAGCATAAAGAACAATTTTTCCCTCATTCGTTTTTCTTGCTGCTTCACTTCTTTTGCAGTTCTTCCTGCCCCCAGGGCAGATTCCCAAACGAGGAGGGATGAAAGGCTCCAGGTAATCCTGTCATTTGTTTTCTGAAGCAAACAGAGCAGTCTTGGTTTCTTAAGACCCTGAATACAGGAGGTGTTCTGGGGAGGTGGCAGGAAACCCTTCGTGGGATTTCCCTCTTAGCTGCAGCTCCAGCAAGCCGATTGGCACATTGTGTTTTGACATCTGCCACTTTGCATCAATGCATGTGTTTCTTGTTCTTCCCAGACTTCTGCATGGCTGAGCCTGGATCGCCCGAAGATGGATTTGCAACACATGGTGTGTGCTCTGTAAACCAGCTCATATCTCCAACCCTGTCTTCGAGCATGCCATTGTGAACATTTTGCATTGCTGCAAGAGAAGCAGACACTTCCTTGCGGGGACAATAGTTCCACCTTGCTGCTAAGTGTTCAAAAAGGCAGAAGCAGCAGTCAGGCCTTTTGCTCCTCCTTCTCCATCACTCCACGCTTCTCTCACTCCCTGTCTCCAGAAAGTGCTGCTTGCTTTCCCCTTAAGCGTTGGGTAGCAGTTGACTTGGAATGGCCGAAGAGAGACACGTCCTTGGTTCTGGAGGTGGGGCAGAGCCACTGTGACCAGCCTCTTACAAGGTCCTTCCCGACTTAGCAAAGAGTTGCTACCTGGACTTAGGGACTGTGGACCCTTGCTCTGCCTCAAAAGGTTTCTTACTGTGGGTGGCTTCAGATGTGTCACATTAAGTTCTCTTTTTTTTTCAAGGACTGAGATGTGTCTGTGCACGTATGTGTTTGGGATGGGGTGGGGTGGGAGGCGTTGGGTATTACTCATAAAAGGCTGAAAACATTCCTGATTGGAGAGGTGGCTCAGTCTGTAAGCCCTCCATACGTCTTACTGGGTCTGCTTGCACAACCAGCAGGCGTTCCAGAGAGTGAATGGTAGGAGGAGAATGTTGGTTCCTGTCTCACATCTTCAAAAATTGAAGATTTTTGAAGCCAGGGTGCTCCATCCCAAAGAGAATGGCCTTGAAAATTGAAGACGAAGTCAATTGCACACCTCTGTGAGGATAATTTCCCTAATGTCCAAAGCAGCTTCAAGACATTCCAGATTGTTTTGCCTTTTGTTAGACCACATTCCACTTTTCCACCTTGCCTTATTTTCTTCCCAAAGGGCCATTTCCAGCTAGCAGCAGAATGAGACGAAACACTGCATTCAGATCTGCTTTTATTTGACCTGCAGCCAAAGGAAGAAAGAGATGCTGTGGATGCCAAGAACTGTCTTGTAGTTGTGCCTGCACCTATACGGCCTCTCTGCCTCAGATGTCTGGGGGAGATGGCATAGGACCTTTTAGCATCTCACCTGAGATGCTCTTTCTCCAAGCTCCAGTTTGGATCTTTGCATAGCCTTTGGACAGCACCCTCTCTAGGGTTTCCCATTCCATGGACCAGTAGTTGGTTCTTTACTGAGAACCTGGATAAAGCACTTACTTGGATACTTTTGCATCAGAGGATTGGGTTCACCTTGTCAGAGTGTCTCTGGGGACCAAGGTAGGAAGCATCCAGTTAGTACGTTTTAGTCATGCTTTGCAGATACAACAAATGAAGTTGTGACATTTTTGGAGTGGCCCTGGGTTGCTAGAGATCGGGCCCGTTCTGTTTTCTTTTCAGAAATAAAGTTGACATTTGTACCATACCCACCACACTAGCAGACATAAATAATTATTTCTGCAGAAGTCAGCAGGGAACACCGTGTTGATATGTACCCAAGCCTTGCAGACGTGAAGGAAGTGATGTATGTGCTTCATTCCTGTTTTTGTTACCAGTGTGCTATCAGACATCTACTTGAACTCTCCGAAGTTGCTGATCAAATTGAGAAGGTTGTCCATCCTGTGAAGTCCAAGTTTTTAACAGCCAATATAAGTTAGCTAGAATAACCGAAGATTGATCTACTGATACGAGAAAGCCAGCATGTCTCTGGCAGAGTGTTGTCAGTCCAATCTAGAAGCCATAGATCAAAGCTCCCTGCTTATTGAGTAGTGTGTGCTCAGGAGGTTGCAGTGACCTCCAGTAAGTCAAGGCATCAGGCTAACGTCACAGGTCGATCCACATTTCCAAGTAATCCGTTAATGGATTATGCTGATACCATTAATTTCTGCTGTGGGAGATGACTGGGGAAAAACGCTGAAGATGTGATTGATCCCAGAGAGTAGAAGCTGGGACGTGAAAGGTAGTTCTGCATTGCGGCTTTTGAAAGCTAACTTTCACAGTTTCTTTCTGCACAAAGGGGGGCACTGAGCTCCCAAATGACTCTGTGATGTGAAATTGGTACATCTTTCCTCAAACTTGCTTTTGTCATAAGCTAAAGATGTCCAGCAATTCAGCTCTCTGTTTTGTGAATCTAAATGCACGTAAAGTAACTTCCATCTGGTATATTTTTGTCTGGTAAAAAAGTAGATTAGTTGCAATAATGTTTATAAAGTTTCCATGGATTAAAAAATACACCTGATTACCCTTGTCTGCACTTCCTTTTAACTTGTACGAACTTTATTTTCAGAATAGTAGGATCATCTTGCAAAATATGGCCTGATTAACTTCATCCAACATTAGGCAGTAAGGCAAGACCACTTGCTCATGGCAAGAATTAGGGTTACACAGCAGGAGTTAGAAAAGGCTGCAGCCCCACTTATTTTTGAAGAGAAAAGGCAAGTGGTAGATCGTGATGCAGACCCGTGGCATTTGTACCGTTACATCACAGTGTGCATGACAATCACTTGCCCCTCTGTAGACACCTGTGAAGTGACTCCTGTTTGTTGCGTCTGAGAGAATTGGAAGGCTTTTTCTTCCCTCCATTTGGACATCTACAGCTGGAATTTGGAGTCGGGGCAGGAGATTTTCTGGCATAAAGTGACAAGAATGAGATTGCCCTCTGGCCTCTTAGGAAGCAGATGGCAGTTAGCCAACTGATAAGGGCAGAGGGTGGCATTTCTAGGGGGTAGGTGCCACTGCTGTCAGAAGGAGATGGATGGGGCACCAACCAGTTACCCTTATTAAAAAGATCAAATGGATCTTTGCTGTGATTTTATATAAAGGGCTATGACTCTCTCCTGCAAGCTGCTTGGGGAAGGATGCATCCTGAGCGGCTTCCACAGGTTCTGCCTGTTCCCAAGCTCTGCTGTGGGGTCCCCCCTTGGCCTCTCTTCTCTCTGCACCATGCAGGCCAGGGTCCTCTCCGCCCTGGCCCCAAGAGGCCCACTCGCTGCTTGGGGTCTCACAGCTTCCCAACAACCTTTAAAACTGCATTTGGGTGAATCTTTACTTTTTCCCGGGAGTGACCGTGTTGCGGCTGATGATTTAACAACAATTTTATTTGGCTCTTTTGCTGTGATTATGAAATAAACCAAACAGATGAATCCATAAACAGTTGCGCAGTTTTGCTTAGGAACAGCAGCAGATCTCCCCCACCAGCTCTCTGCCAGGTTGGCACTCTACTTTTCCTGCTGCTCTTTTTTATCAAGGTGAAATGCGACAACCGCAGCCACAGGATAGGAAAATTAATGCAGAATAGTAATTGGAATGTACCAAAGCTAAAAAAAGAAAATGGGCTCCATATACTATTAATACAAAACTAAGCCAATCCTTTAATGCAGGATTAAATCTAGGCGATAGAGACATATTAAAATCTGGCTGATGCTCTCGGGAGTCTCTGTCTTGGGGGCGTTCAGTGTCTTGGATGAAAAACACACCAAGAGGGCCTTGGACAATACAGTTCCAAAATGGTCTAGGTTCAAGTTACTGGTTACAAATCGTAACCCTTTGTGTAGGCATAACATTAAGATTTCAGAATTACAGAAAAGTAGTGCATTTTTGCTGTTTGAAGTGTCCTGTGTTTTCATTACTGGATCTCTCCTCCTCTCTTCCTTTTCATCAGTTCCCCCTCACTGTGACTGGTGAGACCAGAGCAGCTGGAAAGCTGTTTGCTCTTGTGCCTAAGAGGAATCGTGAAACGACACCTTATGGCTTAGTCTCTTCGGGGAAGGCAAAGTTGCTTTTCTCCAAGAGCTGCTGTTAGGAGACAGCCAAGGCAGAGAAGCTGCTGAATCTGCGTGGATCGTGATCCTAAAGGTGCCTGTAATTCGCTTCCATCTCTTGTTTCCTCCTTCCTCTGCATGTGCTCAAAGGAGAGCAAAACAGTCAAGAGGTACAGCCTGGCCCTCCTCTGCCGAAAGGCCGGCCTTCTCCCTGAACGCCGAAAGAGTGCCAGGAAAAGAGTGCAGAACCTCCCCACCCTCCTTTCTCTCTCTGGCGCTTGCTGTTGAGAGCAGACCCTTGCTGGGGTTCTTGCTTCTTCAACCTTCTTCTAAATAAACCTTACCAACCAGAGAAACCTATCCCTCGGATTAACCGCTTCCAGTCTAGGGTGTTACTAGGGCATTGGTTGGTCGGTGTGTAGCCACCAAGCTGGGTTTTATGGGATTAAAGAGACAATGATACCTTCAGGTTGAGATCAATTCCTGATGATACCAAAGGGTTTTTTAGCGCAGTTTATCCTTTCCTTCTTCTGGATGTTGTTTCAACTTCCCAGTCTAGTCTCCCACCCAAAAACTAACCATGCCTAATCCTGTTTAGCTTCCAAGATCAAGGTGGGTTAGCTGTTGTCCTCTTCTATGACAAATGATCCTACAAGGAAGCTATGCACTGCCAGAAGATGTAGAGATGTGTGTGTGTGTGTGTGTGTGTGTGTGTGTTATGTTTGTATGTGTGGGAGAGATAAATGGTCAACTATAACTCTGCAAATCCCATTTTAAGAGCCGAAATGTTGTTTGAACCACTGTTATAAGTGATCTGGCATGAGCCTTCCCCCCCCTTAATCTTAATTATATACATCTTAATTACATAGCTAGTTAACCTTTGATTGTTGGCTTGCTGCATCTAAAATTCAGAAAGTTCTCAGTGTATGAATGCAATCAACCATTCTCTCGACCAACCTATTTGTGAAGATGTTAGAAGGGGACGTTGCATAGAGCCCTTGGACAATAAACTGTCCCACCTGGTTTGTCGCACTGTATATGGTTGTTAAGGAAAGCTTCTTGAAGAGGCATATGGTTTAATGATAAAGAACATCTGGCTTTGTATGAGGAGCTTCAATCAGACTCAGCAGCTGACTGCACTGGCAGCTTTTTGGTTTTGCAGGCTGAGCTGAAGCAAAAATGGGAAGGAATGGTGCTTGAGCTGTGCTCTTTTGCAGTCATTGCAAAATGGGTGTCTTCCTGTTAAGCAGGAGTCAAACTAGTCTGACCAACCATTAGTGTGAAAGGCCTCGGCTTCTCCAAGGAAAGTTGGGAAAGACGCCTTCCTGGTTCCAAAGGACAGGGCAACAGGATGGTGGCCCTCCAGATATTGAACTCCAGTGCTTCAGCATTAGCCAGTGGTGGTGGAGGATGGGAACTGCAGTCCAGCAACTTTCTCTGCAGCAATGGAGGACTGGACTCAGAGAGGTGGACTGTCTGATTTGTCAAAAGGCATTTTCTTCTGTGCTTACAGTTTGGATGAGTTTGTCCTCCAGAGGGAGAGCAATTTCCTCAGTAAATTCCATTTTCCATTGGCTTTTTGAATCTCATGATCAACACCGAGTGCATGACTGCAATACCCCTCGCTGGCCACTTGTGACATGGGGCTGAAAGACAGCAGTCACTTTCTTCTACAGGTTGCCATGGTGACGGAGAGAGCAGCGGGGTGAGTCCCCCTGCAGAGAGTCTGGTTTGACCCTCCTGACGCTCACCCAGCCCAGCACAATGAGAAGATCTGACAGCACCTTGCCAGGTTCCACCCACCCAGTCTGCATTTCAGCAGCCTTGTGATTTTTTAAAAAAACCTTTGTAATGGAGCAATCACTGATGACAAATCATTCTGGAAAACATTATGCATGCACAGAATACAACTTACCCCATGGCAAATGTGAGCATTTTATCTTTTCCCTATCTAAAAGGCAAAACTTTTTAAAAGAGATCTTATAGCAGACAAAATGTCTAATCTTTGCACAGTTTTTCTTCACTAAATGGAATGCAAAGCATGCCTATTTTTAAGGAAATCTTGATGGATTTTTATTTAAAAAAGAAACAAAACCCAGTAGCAGCATGGCTACTTTTTTTCCTGTTAGGTTTTCTACCCTCCCTGCTTTCAGTTTTCAGCCAAGAATTCTCCAGCATTGCTGGAGCAAGACAGGAGGTGGGACTGAGTCAAAACGCAAGTGACCAGAGCCTCCCCAAGGGCAGCAAAGAGCAGACTGGACAGTGGAAGAGTGTGGGGAACATGCTGCCCCCTTTAAAGTTCTCGAGGGAAGAAAAACACCCTTGCAAAACAGGCCGATTGCTTCCGTGATTCAATCCAGCAAGTCATCCTCCAGCACTGCCTGGAAACAGCAACTGGTGTCAGGCGAGGGCGTTGCAAGTGCAGAGACCATCTGATGCCGCTCCTGAGGCCGTTCTGCTTCCTAGCACAATCTCAGGTGTTGTTCCTAACCTTTGTCGGCTCTCTTAATGGTTGCCGATCTGTCCAAGCATGAAGACCGGCAGGAGAAAGCCATTTTAGGAGGCCTCTGCAGCAGCAGCAGGCGCGGCAGGATCTTGGTGCTCCCAGGCTGTGGAGACCCCTTGGGTGGGATGGGGTTGACCGACCGTCTCGCTCGGCCTTTCCGGGAGCTTCCAAGACGCAGCTGATTTGCCAGGAGCCTAGCGGTCCGTTAGAGTTCGCACTGATTCTAATTTATGTCCTTGCATTTCTCTCATTTTTTTGGTAACCCATATTCTATGGATAGCCTTTGTTGAAATTAAGTAGGAAGATGGCACAGAAATCAAGTCTTTTTTAAAAAAATCAAACTACTATGTAATTTTCTCTGGGCCTGAGTCTGCAGTGGTAGAGTGAGCAAAGACGGATACACTTTTCATTAATTTTGTTCTGATTGCAGTTAGGATGAGGGACCTTTGTTTTTAATTTGTGTTTAGTCTTGGACAATAAATAAGTTTTGGTGGTTTTTAATTTGTGTATAGAAGACTTCAGATTTTTATCAAGTGTATTTCATTGGATCATAGGGTTGGAAGGGATTAGAAGAGTTCTATTGTCTGGTGGACTTACCAAAATGTTTTTAAGTTTTACAAATATCTGAAAATGAAGTAACAATAAAATCGAAATTCACATATCATAACATTAAATTGCTACTTTATTATCTCTGTACTTACTGCAAAAATAAGTGTCTGAATGTATGTAAATGTCAGAATTCAATTAAATTTTGAATTTGCATTCAATTTTCTACACTGGAAATAAAAATTAGTTGAATACTTATTTTGCTTTCAAATCTCAAATGCAAGGAACAGGTGTTGCAGAATAGATTCAATATCAGTGTCTGTGTACCTAGTGAGAAGTTAGGGGATCAGTGAAATAAACTTCATCCTGAAATCACATTTGGAAATAAATGTAAGTGGATGCTTAAACTGAAAAGATTACCACATGCTCTTGGACCAAAAAA